GGGATACAAGTATGTGTATTTTTTTATGTATACCATGGTCAGATCAATATCAGGTATTTAATAGCAAGTGATAAATCACATATTTGGGACAGGGACGATATCAGGGATGATATCGGTATAAGAGGGATAAAATCAGGGATGATATTGATATCATCCCGGGTAAATTCAAACGGGAATCGAACACGGATCTATTGCTTGGAAGGCATTAACGATGCTAGACTTTACACCACTGACGCTCTTGAAATCGAACTTTGTTTGATTATGATTCTTCATATCAAATAATTTAATGTTTTACATCATCAACACCTCATAACATAAAGCAATAAAAACGATGCGTCGGCCGGGAATCGAACCCGGATCTATTGCTTGGAAGGCAACAATGCTAACCTTTACACCACCGACGCTCTTGTTCAATGTAACATTCGTTTAATAATATATTCGTATCAAATAATCACGCTGTTTACCATGATGGTTAAGTCGAGGCGATTTGCCAAGTTTTACGGTAACCATAATAGCAAAAATTGGCGAATGGGAAAGACAGCATGTCCTCTTTCTCGCCTGTAGGCAAGATTCTTTCACAGGTAAGGTTTCATTTTAAACTAGTTTCGTTCGGTGAATTTCATTTCATTCTTGTACAAAAGATGCATTAGTGTACCTAGACTATTACTTGAGGGTTGATAATTCTTCAGAATGTTTGAATAACTAGAATATTCAGTGGTTTACTTTTCAAAATTGCAAAAAAATCCAAAGTGCACCCTGGCCTTAAAAGATATAGTCCCACGCGGATGTGCACGTCATTAAACTGCTGATGGGTTAAGGCAATGTGCCGTCCCACTGATATTTGGATGGTTATGACACTGCTCCAAACTACTTACTGTGCATCTCCGGGTGCATCTATGTTATAAATGGAAATAGTATCATTCTTCGTAAATAATTCATACATGGGAATAAATGTTCAAAAAGCATTCATGCTAAATGTTCACAGTCATGCATTCATCCACCATTACCGAATGTATTTCTATATGCACGTTGATGTTTATGCAATGTGTATATCAAACATCATATATCATATATTAAAAATGGCTTCCATTGTTCATGGAAAATCACATCAAAATATGTTTTGTTTGGTGGTATTTGCTTCTCCGCTGCGGTTGGATTGGTTACTCCGTGCATTTGCTTTTTTTCTAGTTTTACATTAGGAGGTTCAGGTAGGTCAAAGTTGAATATTGTACTGTTCGCACTAATCGAAACTAATTGTAGTGGCTCTATTAACGATTTTGGACTGCAAGTGAACGAAACAAATTCTCATCAATTAACATTTGTGTCGCCAATTTTATCAACTGAGCGTGTAAACATAAATTTACTAGAGAATTATTCCTTGACATGATATAATTTTCATCGTTTTCGTAATTGCTGTCCTTTTTAGCCCATCCATTTACGTAACTTAAGTGAGGAAGTATATTGATGATTTTGCAGTCTTACGAGGAATAACGTTCGCAAAAGCTTGGATTTTCTGAAACACAAAGTAGTATTGATCCTGCTTATATCTCGTGAAATCATGGAAAAAACAAAAACGTATCGAAATCGTTTGCGCCATTTTGTTACGAAACCGGATCCGTTTGCGTAACTCGCTTTACGAGTTCCTCCAAAGTGTTATAACAGTGACAACAGTTTAAGCAATAAATAAATGAGTAGTCGATATTCTATCACCATTTCCAGACAATGATGGTTTGAAAGCCCATAGTTTCCCATATTGTCTAGATACATATCCCATAAAACCTGCATATTTTACACTTTGTATACTCATCCACTAATATACAGGGTGACCGGAAAAAAAGGAGACCATTGAAATAGGCAATATCTCCTAAAATAGACTAGTGACATCAATGAAATTTTGCATACATCAGGACAGTTCTATGGAAATTTGTTCCTGAAAGTGTCAATACAAGCAGTCAACTGGTTCAGGAGCTATGATCATTTAAATAACATGCTCCAAATAGGCGCAATTGAGACCAACGCAGAGCTGGATACATTTGGCAAATACCCTTACATATTCCGACCTTGTTATGGCATTACATTTAGCATTTATTGCCACCTTTAGGTCAGCAATTGTCTCAGGATTGTTTTGGTACACATTGTCTTTCAAATTGCCCCACAAAAAGAAATCAGGTGGATTCAAATTTGAGGTGTATGGAGACGAAGCTTATCTGACCTATGGCTTCTGACTCAGTGGTCCCACTCAGTTACAGTATCATCCTAAGGAGGTTTTGGGCAGCCCTTGGTTTCCATATTGGATTTAATTGTGCCATATAGTGGTTTTAGTAACGTGGCACTATGCCCAATACCTAAAGTGACTCTTAAGATTGGGTAAATCAGCACTTTGGCAACAGGATGATGAACCACATGTCAGATAACCCTTCATTGCCATTACAGCCTAGACTTGAATCCTGCTGATTTCTTTTTGTATGGATATTTGAAAGACAATCTATACCAAAACAATCCTCAGACTATTGTTGACCTAAAGAAGGCAATCACTGCTATATGTAATGCCATAATAATGCCATAGAGGGCAGAACATGTAAGGGTAGTTTGCCATATGAATCCAACTCTGCGTTGGTCTCAATTGTGCCTATTTGGAGCATGTTATGTAAATGATCATAGCTCCTGAACCAGTTGAATGCTTGTATTGAAACCTTCAGTAACAAATTTCCATATAACTGTTCCAGTGTATGCAAAATTTCATTGATGGCACTTGTCTAGTTTAGGAGAAATTGATTACTTCAATGGTCTCCATAAATATGACCTCTTGAAAATTCTCTTATTTCTAACATTGGAAATCATCACTTCAACAAATCCATGATTAGTAGCCCGGACAGAATTGTTCAATGGTCACTTTTTCTTTAATCACTTTTTTAATTTTCAGAATTATCATAGTCTGATCACATATTTGAAAACTAGAGTAAAATTCTGACATACAAAAAAATATTAAAGGAACATCTCTTAATTTATTGATATTATAGGCGTTCATGGTATGACTGACGCAAATACCACAATCATCAAATTCAAATTCCTCCAGGTTCTATATGGCTGTTCCTATTTTACTCTCACGTCATTCATATCCCGGTTCATATATTCATTTATCCCATACTTGGACGTGTTACAGGTACATAAAGCAGGTTTGTAAAAACGTATATTTTCATCAGCGGGCAGATATAGCTTTACGTCCCGCCCCTTGGCCAACATAATATACAGGTATCTACCCTCGGGACCAACGGTCTTCGGGCAGATATATTATATTGGCCTCGGGATAATCCCGATATCCTGAACCTCATATAGGATAATCTCTAATATGTTCTTTCAATTTGAACGAGCTGATTCTTAAGCAGAACTAATTTCCCTACGTTGAATTGCAACTTCTGCCTCTTGATGTGTAATGCATCGACAAATCATGAGATAAACGTTAACCTTTTCAGTTAACATTAAATAACATTTATTTTTGCTTTGTTATCATGGTATTAAACCAAATAGATCTTTGTCTATGTCGGTCATTTGCGAAAGGCTAATTAGACTATTTGAAAGCAGATATCAAATTTATCAGTGATAACATTTTAATATAATATCATTTAAACGTGAACATTCAAGAATATATCTATGGTTTGGTTTAAACTCAATTAAAAGGACCGTGTGAATCGGGGACTTATGTTTTTTATCCAAAAACAACGATATCGTTTTATTGACTATAAGATTGCACCATTAACACCCAGGTATTTTCATTTTTACACCTTCAGAGAACTGGGAAATATTGATCCTAAACGTTTTTGAATAATATAAATGCTGTTTTAAATATGTTTCATGTGTGCCAATAATTTCTCAAATTGTGTACACTGTACACATATAGAAATCCAATGGTACAGTTCCAAGCAGATTCTGAGATAACAGGAAAGTAAATCTTTAATATCTTAATCTATAATCAATTAATTAATCTTTAATCTTTAAAATCTTTAATCAATAAAATACTTTTATCAATAAGTACTGATAAAAATGCTGTATCTTTTTTTCATATATCTGACTGCACGAAAAAAGTTTCAAAATGACTTAAAATGTGAATATTGCTCCTCGGTCAATTGCTTAAGCACCGCAGCCGTTTTGTCCCACGTCAATGTCATTTCTAAATCATTATGAATAACATCGTTTTCATGACCAACACTTGAATCAGTCATGTCTGCAATTTTTCTGATAGGAATTCATCCAATATTTCTTTTATTGCATTTATCTTGATTCTCCATTTGTTAGCATACTTCATGGTATTTTCAATGAGTGATTTATCAAAACAAATACATACCTCTCAACCTTTGTCAAGTGTAAATATTGAGGTGTTTCTCATTAAATCCTGCAATACGATAGTGATAGGTGGGTGCGTGTATTAAATCCAGATGGTTTACATTGTAAACCTAAACAGTATTAGATCACTATTGAGTATACGTATTAGCGACAGAATGCAGGATTGAGATAGTTTTGTATATTGAAAACAAAACACTCCTCACGTTTTTATTTTCGACCCTGAATTCGTCTGCTGGTTGTTTTAATAGTCCTACTCCCGAATATAATTCAGTTTAGCCTTTGATACATGTAGTGCATTCATTTTTAATTCGGGGAGGAAGGTCAAATAATGGAAAACTCAACATTACTAGGATTTATTGTTGACATTTAAATATGATACATTTTATTAATGTTTTATACAGGAGATAATAGAGATTCAATTGCGTAATTTATTGACGGATCTTGTTATCCCACCAAACGAATTTCAAGGGGGATAAAGAGAAGCCGTCCGGCGTCAATCCGTCCGTTTGTTCGTTCGTTTGATTGTTCGTACATTCGTGTGTCCGTCCGGGTGTCCTCTGCTCGATAAGGAATGTTCAACATGGCCGCGTATTCTAAAATGGCCCCCATTTTTCAGAAAATGTAATCTTCGATATATCAAATACTAGTTTGCGGATTTAGTTCAAATTTTATATGCTGGTGCCTATAGGACAAGGGAGCTTTTCAACATAAGAAATTTTCTAGTTTGCCAATGCATTTAAAAATTGGGAAAAATGCTTTCCAAGCCAGTGTGCGTTTATTTCGACGGATATTATCAATCGTAAAGTTGACACCTCACCGTCTCATACTCACGCATTAAGCAGAGGGGGAGAAACACCAGGGTTCAAAGATGACATACGCTTATAATGTAAATCTGTATTGAGATGACATCGTCGCTGATTGGTCAAAAGTCGACAAACAAATGACGTCATCAATGGCGGTTTCAAAATCTTCGAAATACGCTTCGAATAATATTATGTTCATTTCTGGCGCGTAAACCAATATCATAGCTTCTCATTTCACATCAAGATAAAGAAAGGTGTACGGAATATGCCTATATCAATTAAAACATCCCATCGAAGTGTAGTATTTGATAACTAGCCGATGAAAATTTGAACGAACGAAGGTGGTAAGCAAGAGAGGTAATTATGTCTGTCATCTTTAGACTCTGGGGCTTTCCCTCCTCTTCGCATTAAGTATCATGAACGTTATCGGATATGCGACTTATTGCCGTATATTGACCACTTAATTCTTTAATCCAATCTTCTATATATAATACCAGTTCTTTGAAAAATCCACAAATCTAACAAAAAAAATTCAGATGATGTGTTCAACTTTGATTCAGAAAATACCATCACCATTAATGAAGGCAAACACGTTACGACAATACCATCCTTAAATTTGAACATGTAAATCTAAATTAGGTCACTGATGTTAGTAAATTATGCTCAAATTCGTAACTGAGAAATCAATAACAATATTCCTCCGCCTTTTAGCTCCTATGGTTACAGTATTTACAAAGATGATGAATTATAACCGAATAATCTGAAATCAGCTCCATATAAAGCCTTGAGCTTGTTCAAATCATCTTTAGGAACAGTTTTATATGCCTTCGGTAGTAGTTCTTTAGTGTTCGAATGTTTATACCTTTGCCCTAAAAATGACGACATGTTGCCATCAAGCCCCATTTTGTTAAGTGTGTATAGCACGTCAGTATCCATAGTTTCATATTTGCCTATGATGTCATATTTTATAGAACAAGGGTGGCAAAGCTCTGCGTATTGTTGCCAGTGTTCGTTAAACGGCCTTCCAATCCGAGGATGAACTAAGGTTTTAATAAACTGACGGAACGTTATATTATCTCCCGTTTTAAAATCATCAGGTGGAACGTCCTCATTTATCAATCTGTACATTTCGACACCAAAATCTTTACGAAAATGCATATCTGGAGTTTTCACAAACTTATTCAAATAGGCTGAAAATATCCTTTCAAATGGATCTCTAACAAACGTGAATTTCAGATAATTACGAATTCTATATTGTTTGTCCTGATTTGAATACATATCCAACGTTGGGAAATATTTCGTCCGTAGGCCTTCTTCAATAATATGTATTGTTTCAATAATTTTGTCACTTGGAGTGATGTTGGATAGTTTAGCATCAGCAATATACAGAAGACGCAGCCAATTCGAACAAGCAACTTTTGGAACTTTGCAATAGAGAATTTTCAGTTTGTCATTTACAATTATATTTGGAAACTTCAACGATTTGATGGAAGGTCTGTGTCCATTGTAGATTTCGTCACAGACAGTTTCCAGAAGTTTCTTCCGATCATTGAACGTTTCGTTAAGTTTCTGATTACCCACTACCTGTAAATAGAGAATAGAAAGTTTAAAAGCCATTAAAAGACCTTGGCAAACCTGATTACTCCCCCTCCCCCACCCGTTCATAGCTAGCGCATTGAGGAGTTTAGAATACATAATTCTTTTTTTAATTTAAGGTCGACATTTATGAAAAATATAAATTTTTGGTCCAGTGGAGGAAATCAATTCGAGTAAGATCCGGTGTTTCGGAAAGCTCTTCTTAGATGCGTTTTGGTAATATGGCAACACCAATTTAACAGCTGAAATGCATGCAGTTCCTTGTGTAACAGAGCTTATACCAATCACGTTTTGACGTTATAGTTTTATCTGGCTTTATGTTTCTTAATATTCTGCATATTTCTTTACCCCCTTTTCGATACCGTCAACCCCGTCATCTTTTGAATTTGTGTTTTCTTTCGCTTGCTCAAGCAGAGAGTACTTTTTAGTAATGTGGTATTCGGAGGAGATGTAGTACATCACTGCGCATATTAATATCATGCCGAGTAGAAACACCATGCATGTTTTGCCCAGTATCGCCATCTGGAAATGATGAAACATACATTATTACCACCTTGCCGGGCCAGTTCTAGGGGTTTTAGTGCTCGTTTAGACACGCCTGACCATCGACAAGGTACAGTCACGTGACATTGACAAAATATACCGTAGTACACTTTTGATGTACTATGTCATTTCCGCCATTTAGATCGCCATTTTCTAGAATGAGGAAGCGAGGAAAGAACTAGCATTGATTTGATCAATATTGTGTCAGTTCATCATCAGGTAGTTGTTGCATTCGATTTGTAATTAAGTTGCAAATATGCATATCTACTTTAAATGATCCTCAGCAACTTCAATATCTTGTTATAGATCTACCCAGTACGTCAGGGATCTCTAAATCTTGACTGAATTTCTCAAAACTCGAATGTATGTTGTCACATTGGCCTTACAGATCTCAATTCACAGTTAATTTTACAGTGAATGAAATGCTATAATGTACGTGTAATAGAAGGAACATATTTGATAATAAAGTAATAATATTTAATAGGCATATCAGATATATTTACCCTAATATTTTTTCCGTTAATCTATAAAATTGTCATTGATATGATTAAATTTCAATGTTACTAATTCTTTTTTTTGTGTTCAATACCTGGCTTTTGAACTTCTGCACTTTCCAGATATACAGTGTCCCAAAGTATGCCCCCGTCCCTAGGCAGACATATACCAATGTCTCCATAGTATGTGTCATATATCATTTTTAAGCTTATCCAAAGTTACATTGATTTGCCAAATATGATGGTTCAAATGGTAAAAAGTAACAGACATTTCAAAAATTAGCGTTTTGTCAAAATAGACTGTGGACTATTCTGTAGAAGTGCTCTAGAAATGGATCCTGCTTTTCATGGAAGGTCACACATTCCAACATATTTCAAACAATTTGTATAATTATAATAGACACTTTCTGGGTAGTTGGACTTTATGTAGGGGTGGCAGAAGGCCCTCAGGCCAATTTATACCCCTACCCCAAAAAAACCTTGGGGGTACTTTAATACCACCCAATTAAAATAATACTAATGCATATCAGATATTCATCGTTTTATAGTGGGTAGGGCATGCCATGTTTAGTCAGTGCCAGAAATTTCCAATCTCTGACTTATATGGTTACCATGGAAACAGTATTTATATCTCACAATCTTCTCAATTTGACCCCGTCCCAAATGTGTCCTTAAGTTCTCAAAGTGAAATATTTGCAAATCTGTTTGGATTTTGTGGCTGCAACTTTGTCAAAAGATGAATTAATATGTATGTATTCACACTAAAGCACTAAAAACTTGATATGATGATCTCATAAATTAATAATATTTATCAAATGTAGTCACACACAACTGCTTTTAGGGAAAAGTGGGCGTGGCACTTTTTGGTACTTGTGTAATTGTTGCAGCATTAAATGAAAAATACTTATTACACTAACAACAATTGACATTTAATTAGCATCTACTAACATTGTGTAACATTGTAGTATGTTCATTATCATTATAAGATACTTTAAATATTTTATATAAGTGTTATCATGACCCTTCCCTATCATAGGTCATTAATGGTCAAATTAACTTTTAAGTCCTAGAGGTCCTTAGTCTTTTTAGCTTGTCAAAGTCGTATTCATTGACTTGAACCTAGAATATAAATAGTTTCATTGATCAAGAGCTATGAGTTAAAATTGATTAATACATTTGTCAGGGTTAGAGCCATTTTATGCAATTGAAAAGTAATGGACCGACACTGATCAGTACCAAGCGAAGGTAACGGCCGTAACCTTCGCATCTAAGATGGCGGACAGTAATTGTCGATTTTGATATTTTTAATTTTCATTGAATTAAACTACTTTAGAGTTGATGTTATGCTTTGACATTTGCACCAAATCAGGCTTAAATGACATTGGAACCATAGATGTAGTAAACATGTATAAATGATATGTGAAATGTTATGCCCTGCCTTAATACATAACTAAGATTTTCTCGGATAAATGGTGTCTTACAATTGACTAACTGATTCTATTATCAACATCAGGTAATGCATGATCTATCCAATGGATTAACGAAAATACTTGATTCCAATATGGCAAAATAAATTATTCCATGTATGAATTGCATAGTGCATCATTTTGCAGATATTACATAATGCATTCATTGACTCATGGTCAACAAGGTACGGGTAAAACTCCTTTTAGTATTTCACAAAATAATGAAATATAAACAATTTACACATTTCTGAAATGCTGTACCTTTAGTGATTCCTTCAACCTGGAAAGTGGTTTGTTATGTTAAAACTTAAAATAATATCTAAACAAATCTGTTTAGTGTATAAAAACAATAAAAGTTAATATGTTTAATACCAAATATTATTAGACATATGAATATAACCTAAAATAAGAAATCTTGTTCTCGTATTCCATTTTAAAATTGGTTGAAGTATTTTGGCACAGTAGAAATGATGGTCATGATTAAATATTATATGTAATATGCCCTGATGCTGTAACACCAATGGTCCTTTATAATCAGGTATGACTGAAATACTGGACAAGATCTTATAAGGTTACAGTTTCCATATAACATATGTTCCATATTACTACCCCAAATCTCCATTGTGTAAGTTTATGAGTCATTATCCCTCATAGTTTATTATGGCAAATGCCTATCCTTGTCTAGACTATGTCATTTTATCAATTTTATAAACAAGTATACAATTACACGCCCCCCCCCCCCCTCCCACACCAAAACTCCATTTTCTTTATCAAATCTTTCTACCTCTATCTGTTATGATTCTCTGTCAGGCTTCCCCAATTTTCCATACTGTCAAGTAAACATCTAAATAGGATAGTTCTAGCTATTGCTGTTGTTTTGAAATGTTGACTTTTCTTGGGGAAATATTGTTTCAATTCTGACAGAAGCTTTTAGCCAATATCATTCAATTTATCAATTATCAAAACGCAGGGTTTCAGAAACTATGCATTTTGTTTGTGCCTGTATTTTCATCATGTGTACTTATTAAGACAGCTATATTTAAACCTAAATACATTAAAACATGATACATATAATCTTTTGACAATTTCTTCAGTAAAATGGCCATTTTGAGAAATGATATATAGCTTGTACCTTTGTTTGATGCTCAACAAGATGTTCGACTGGATTTGCCTTTGTCTAATTCATATATATACCAAATACGAGAATCAGAATCTTATTCTACAAAACGGGTGTTCATGGAAGTAGCACTAATTATTGCATCATTGCTATAAATCGTGTGATTTGATTGGCTAATTCAGAACCATGTGACTAAAAATACCAGCGTATTTCACAGCTCCCTGAATAATTTCCTTATTCAAAAGACGTATTGTCCAGCGTATTGCCCGCCTGGGGATTCTGACAACTGCACTTTCAATGATTTTTGCAACATGTATTACCATCGCCCTACGGGCTGCGGGCAATACATATTGCAAAAATCATTGAAAGATGAACAGGTATTGCCCTCCATAGAATGAAATATTTGCTTAACATTTCTTACTGTTTCGGGCTTAATATCAATTTTGTTATAAACTGAACAAAGCGGCACCTTTAACATGCAGCTAATTCTCCCATCTTACCCTACTATCACACCAAACTAGTTCTCACTGCGTTCTCGAAAACAGGCTTCAACTGTATACGAACGGACTGGACCTACTAAGAACCGTTTGGGATCTATTTACAAACTTCATCGAACGTACTCGAACGGGTCGGTCCTCTAGAACTTAGACAATGCTCAAAATGTTCTCGTGGTCGTCACGTTCTACAATTAGAATGAGTGACAACGTACTAACGACGAGCTGGACGTACTACGAACGCGAACGGAACCGTCGTACTTCAATCCTACTGGTGACGTTTTAACAACGAGTTGAACTGTCTGTGGACGTGTTGAGAACGAGGTAGAACTAATTGCAAACGGGTTTAAACTGATTAAGAACGTATTTAACACTGCTTATGAACGAGTTAGCAAAAATATAGCTATCACACCAAACAAGTTGCCACTGCGTTCTTCAAAACCGGTTTTAAACTGTGTGCGAACGGAATGAACGTAGCTGCAACTTTCTAAGGTCTATTTACGAACTTTATGAACGTTCTCAGACGGGAATGTGATTTTAGAATTTTGAATCGATTCAAAATTCGATGACGACCACACCGTTCTGTAATCAGGTCATGTTGACCTTCTAGACTAAGGGACGCGTTCTACGACGTTGCACTCCGACGTGGTGCGACCTGAACGAACTGCGAACGAGATGGACGTATTGAAGACTGTTTAAGAACGAAGAAGCTAATTATTTCAGACATATTTCACGACCACAGCCAGATTGAGCCCTTTTGACGACATTTTCGTAGGACTGGCAAGAACGGGTAAGAACTAGTTTGGTGTGATAGGGGGGTAACCAAGAGAGCCTCTTTTAATATATCGAAATTTAAAAATTGCCTCTGATTCAATTTGTTCAATCAAATCTAAAATGGTATACCTTTTTACTGCTTCGGACTTCCTTATATTTTATACCATTGGGGTAGGATGTTTGTCTCTTTCAATTAATGCTTTCACCAGAAACATGGATATCACTAATTTTGATTCATATTTAAAATGGTGTGCATGAATAGACCTGTGTATTTTATACCAAATAGAGACACTTCCCTGGAGAGTTCTAAATCTCTATATGTTAACAGCCTAGTTCCCACATCCCTTGTTGACTTTGCTTCCATATTTCCTGTGAAGCCGTGGAACAGTTCTCCTGTTCTTCACAATTTTTCATTTTAATGTAACTTAATGAATAAGGCCAATTCATATCACTGGCTTCCCTAGGTCATTTGAATTCCTTGCAATTTTTAAATCAGCAATAAAGAATAATGGGTTAAATTATCAAATAATGAAAAAGTTGCAAATTATGAGATTTGCTATATAGCTTCGAAATCTTGCTGAAGTGTAGTTTAACTATAGGTTAACAGACTAAATTCTCATTGAGATAATTTTAA